GGCAGCAATGGCAGCCCCCGGCTCATGCCCACAGGCATTGCCCCATCCTCATGGCATCTCAACCCCAGTCCTACCTGCCTCCCACCACCTGCTCAGCGCGGCACCCTTCCCCCCCACCCAGGCTCCTACCTCCAGCTCCTTGAAGAAGATGCAGCTCCGTGCCCACTCCACGATGGAGAAGAGGGTCTGGTCAGCCATCTTGCACATGAGGCCGAAGGTGCTGAGCTTCTCGTGCCGGCCTTTGCCTTGCTCTTGCTGCAGACAGGCCAGTATCCGTGCCTTCACCTGGGCCTCATCGGGCTCCAGCTGCAGCAGCTTCAGGATGACCTCAGGGATGTCGGGGGGGGAGCTGCTGGCGTAGGTCTCTGGGTACATGTAGGCGGGCACGGACTCGTGCACGTTTGTGTAGTGGTCCGGGTACTCGGACTTGATGGTACGGTTGGGGAAGGAGGGATAGTGGTAGCCGGCGAGCGGTGCGTGGCTGGGCACAGTCATTCCCAGGGAGGGCGTCCCATAGGGGCTGCGCTCGTAGTCGACGGGTGTCAGGGCAGCAGGGTTGGGTGGCAAGGTCTTGGACATGGCGTGGATGCTGTGGATGGTGGAGGACAGGCTGTAGTCATTCTGCACTGGGGACATGATCTGAGGCACGGTCTCCAGCTTGAAGCCATTGGCACGGATCAGAGCTTTCTTCTGCTGCTTTAAGGCACGGTCCCGCTTGTACATGGGTCCAAACTTGTTCCTCCCTCCACGCATCCGGTCGGCACGCACGGCTGGGGGCAGAGAGAGGGCAGAGGCTGCAGTGAACCTGCACGGAGGGACACCAGCACTTCTATGTGGCATGGAGAAAATGACGGGGGGGGGTGTCGGTGGCCAAATAGGGCTGGGGGACACCGGGGAGACCTTCCCAGAAAGCTGCCAGCAGGACCATGCCACTCCCAGCCCAGCCGTGCACACCAGGGACGTGACATGGCAGGTTTGGGTGCCTGGCCCCGGCTCTTGCCTTGCTGGTGTCACCTTCAGAGCCTCTGGGAATTGCAGGAAAGGAAGAGACATTTGGCTTTTACCACAGAACAGGCTGGGGGATAAAGCAGCTTGCATCCCTCATGGGTTCAAGGGACAGCCCGCAAAGCCCAGGCAGACAAGGGGGCTCAAAACCCCCTTTCTTTTTTATGACCCCTGACTCTGGACCAGCCCTGAGATTTCCTTGTTTGTGCACAGCCTGGGACCCCACAGCCCCCACGGGACCCTGGCTCACCCTCATCCAGGCTGCACAGGCTTCTTTGCTGCAAACCTCTGCCCCTCTTACGGGCAGTATGGCTGGCAGGTCCCGCCGGACACACTGCACCCTGCAGCAGGGCTGTGCCGGCTTTTGGGCAGGAGGCTGCCCGTCCGCGCCAGGTATCAACTAGGGTTGAGGAGCTCTGCCGGAGTGTCCCACTGGTGGAATCACTCTGACGGCCTCATCACAATGTCCTGGCTGTAGCAAAGCAGATGTTCCTTCTGAACCCCCAAAGAAACCCAAGAATGTGTCAGCACGCGAGGGAGCAGGTGCTTCTCTGCAGCAGGAGCTCGTCCCTCCGCACCGCCCCACTGCGCTCTGGGGGCTGCTGCCCCAGCCCACCCTTGGAAGAGCATCAGCTCGCTGGAAGCTGGGAGCTGGACGGCGGTGCAGAGGGATGGAGGAGAATGCGCCAGCGAGCACAGCCTGCAGACTTAGCATCAAAGGGAAAAAAAACCTCTGCTAGTTTGCATCCCCGTTGCCAGCAGGCGAGTCTTGCTTTTGTGTGTCAGCTGTCACCTCTGTCTCTCTTTCACCCACTTATCCTGGGGCCGCTGGAAGTGCGGCCAGCACCCTGGGAGAGCCAGGGCACCTCCAGACTCTCCCCAGGCAGGCTGGAAACACACGAGCGTCGGCCAGGAGCAGCAGCATTTCCAGGGCGTGCAGGAATGTGCTCCCGGGGGAGCCGCCCTGAACTTCCTCCCTCATTCTTTTTTCATGAAAACAGCATCTCGCTGGGAGCGGGGCGGCCGGAGGCATCCTCTGAGGCGGGGGGTGCTGTGGCCCCCCTGCTCCTGAAAGCCTGCCCGCACGCCTCCGGGAAACAGAGAGCTGCCCCGGGGCAGTTCCTAACTTCAGGGGTACAAGGGAGATGGCCACAGTCAGCATGTGTGTGTACCCCCACCGGGATCCCCTGCGAGCACGCCCTGTCACACAGCCCGAGCTGGACCGGCAGGTCTGGAATCTCCGGCCGCTCACCCCAGTGATGCCACAGCACACCGAGAGTCCAAATCTCCCACCCACTCAAAGCAATGTGTTTCCACCGCCGCTCGAGGCCAGGCACAGCGATGCCTGGGGAGCGGGTCCCAAGTGGACCCCCGTGACCCCAGGCAAGGGTGCACAGGCAGGGACCCCACTGGTGCTGCCTGCACCCCACACACAGCGGGAGGTGCTCACAGGTCACACAAACCCTCCGCAGGCGACAGCTAGTACACCTCCTTCCCTCTCAGCCAGAGCACAAAGGGAGAAGAGGCCTTTTAATTCCCCTCCTGCTCCGCTATTCCTGCCGTTTGTGCCTCGCT